TAATCTCAGATGGATATCAAGAATCCAAGATAATTCAAATGGACTTCAAGAAAATATAAAGAATTCACAGGATCCAAAAGTGAAAATATTGAGACTGCTTCATCAATTACATTTACAACAACTTTACTTTACAAAGAAATAAGTTGGCTTATTTTCAGCTTATCTTTCTTCTTCCAACAATAAAAACAACTGGGCATTTTCCGTACATAACCTCAGCAACATAAACTTCAAACGTTATTAAACTAAACGTGGTTACTTGAAGTCCTTAAGGTGTGAAAATCTAGTCAATTTTATTCTAGAATCTGGGTAATGTACAGGTAGTTTAGAATAATTTTGCCCACCTCATGTTGAGGTTCTTCCAAGATATACTAAAAATATCTCAAAAAAATACTTAGTACATTCTTACTGAGTGCTAAATTCTAACGTAATCAGCAAAGAGATATCAATAGAACAAAGGATTCCACATCACAGATTAATCAACATTATAACCACAAAAGAAAAGGGAAGAGCTTTCAGATCACACTGTCAAGCACAGTTTGTTCAACTCCATGAGTGCACATCAATGTTTGTGAAATTAACTGCAGCAAAAAAGGGAGAAGATGAAGAAATCAAAGACTAACTTTGATTTGATATTTCATTTGATTTTCTCAATGATGCCGGAGATGACCTCGTCCATGTCAAGATCCTTCATCGGCTGAAACGGCCTCTTCATTTCCAGAAGGCTGATGAACTTCTCCCCATCTTCTTCACGGACTTCGAAGCAGCCCCTTCTCGGCTTCTCCGGGTTAACCACCACTTTCACGCCGGGAATGGCTTTCTCTAGCCCTTCTTTCACCTTTAAAGCCCGGGTCTTGAACGAGTTGCACTGTTTGCAGTGCTCGATGATGATGGTCTTCGAGGCAACATCGGAAACCTCTGCACCTTGCTTCTCCGGTGACGACTGCGGCTTCTCCGGTGACGACTGGGGCTGGCCCTTTTCCTCATCTTCGGCGGGCGGCGGCTGTTGGGCTTTCTTCGGGGCGACGGCTTTTTTGGGTTTCTTGGCCTTCGGCGGCTGCGGTTGGGTGTCGGAGTTGGCGTTGACGAGGCGGTTTGAGCTCCGAGTCACCCTAGAAGAGGGATCCACTGCCGTTCTCTTTTTGGGTGCCATCTCTACTTCTCTTTTTCTTTTGGAGAAGATGAAGAAGACAACGAATGAGATTGTTTTACAGCAAATGCTCTGTGATAAACTGAGACAGAGAGAAAGCGGAAATGTGTGGATTTACAGTTTCCACCGCAACAGCGTTTTGAAGTTTGAGCCCTTTTGGGTAGCATCGCCGGTATGGCTTTTCCCGCGCTTTTTGGACGGCCTCGATTGAACCCTGGGAGTGTTTGTTGCTGTTTCTGCTTAAAAAATGATTAGTAGTAAAAGTTGATAGTATTTGAGAAAAAAGTGATTTTGAAAAGTAAAAGTTGGTAATGTTTGGTAAAATAAGTGTTTTTTGTGTAATAGAAAAGGGAAAAGCAATTTCACACGCAAGCCGAGAAAAAGTAAAAATTGATAGCATTTGGTAAATAAGTGCCTTTTTAAGTCAAAAGCTGAGAAGCGTTTTTTTAAGTTTTGCAAATACTCTCTGATTGGGGCGCTACAAGTAGGGGTGGGTTCGGTTCTTTCGGTTCGGTTTTTACCTAAAACCAAATACGGAACCAAAGTTAAAGTTCGGTTCGGTTTCGGTTCGGTTTTACACTCCAAAACTCGGAACCACGGTTTGATTGGTTCGATTTGCTTCGGTTCGGTTTCGGTTCTTTCGGTTTTTTACCAAAAATTTGTCATTTGATTTAAAATTGATATAATAGTTGGAGGGATCAAACATATTACATAAAAAACACAAGCATACTAGAATAAATGAAGTAAAAATAAGAATAAAAAAACATGTCTTGAATTATATGAGTATGCAGGAGAGATATAAGTGTATATATTCTTAATTTACATTGTTTGTGACTAGATTGAAAAAAGTTCATGAATACATATATCATATGTGATATAGCTGAGATGAATATTTATTTGATTTATCAATGTAAAAAATGTAAGTTACATAAAAATATAATTTAATTACTACTAATAACCTCTAAAAACAATAATCATGCAACAAATTGCAACATACATACATACATAAAAGACATAATCGATCAATATAGCTACATTATTATGGGCAAATGAATGAGTAAATGCATTTACAAACTAAACTAAACATAAACATTATTTCTATAGCACAAAAAATCAAAGACTATTGATGATATTAGGATTAATGATTAAAAATTAACAAATAAAATTTCATATTTTAATTAGTTCGGTTTGTTCGGTTTGGTTCGGTTTTGAAGGGTAAAAACCAAAACCGAACCAAACAACTACGGTTCGGTTCGGTTTTTTACATTCGGTTTCGGTTTTTAGCGGTTCGGTTTTATTTGGTCACGGTTCGGTTTAATTTGATTCGGTTTTCGGTTTTCGGTTTTCCGGACCCAGCCCTAGCTACAAGTCTATGGAGAGGATCGTCTCACCAACCAATTTTCTCGTCATTTGCTCTTTTAGGGGCTGTCTTCATATTTTTTCCTTACATTTTTCAAATGACATCTTTGTGTGGCTTATAAACTTTTGAGTTTTGAGAGAAAAATTATTGATCTGCGATTTTTTTAAGATATGAATAAAAACAGTAATTTTCTTAGAGATAATACTCCTAAATAGGATTAAAATCATCTTTAAATGTATAAATATGACTGTATTTATCTTTGAGTAAAGGGTCAGATTGGTACTCGAAGTTGCATAAAAAGGGTCAAATAAGTCCTTATATAGAAGGCTATGTCCGGCCGTCGTCATTTGGGGCGGTTCCCGGTGGAATTTTTTGACGAATTTTTTTCTCATCTTATTCATTAAGTCTAGTTTACTCATACCAAATTTCAGCTAAAACTTCTATTGAGAAGACATTCAAATGAATTCTTGAAGATAACTGCGCAGTTAAAAGCGCAATTATCTTCAAGAATTCATTTGAATGTCTTCCCGATTGAAGTTTTAGCTGAAATTCAGTATGAGTAAACAAGACTTAATGAATAATATGCTCAAAAACATTCGTCAAAAACTTCCACCGGGAACCGCCCCAAATGGCGACGGCCGGACAGTAAAGACTTATTTGACCCTTTTTATGCAATTTCGAGTACCAATCTGACCCTTTACTCATTTATCTTCTCATAATAAGACTAAAGTATATACTCCGCATTATCTTTCTATTCTACCATTACCCTAATAGTCTAACTTAATAGAACAATCATATTTGAATTTGTAATAAAAAACAAAAGTAATAAAAAATAGAAACAATTCCACAAATATTACTCCTGAAAAAGTGATGGACAAAAATGTTACGTAGTACTTGATAACTTTAAGTAATTATAATTGTATTGAAAGTTACTATGGTCTAGTTACTATGATATGAATTTTGAACACATTTATAATCACTAAAAGTTATTAAGTCACATTTTTGTTCATGCCTTTTGTTTTAGTTATATTTTAGGAAAAACATCTAAAAACTATTTTATTTTTTACAAATAATCGTAAAAAATATTAAAAATTCTAAATATTTTTATAAATAGTAGAATAATAAAAATTAAAAAAAAAGTAAAAAGTTCAAAAAAAAAAAACTTAACAATAAATAAATAAATAAATAGATAAAACACATTAAAAAATATAAAAGAATGGAGGCCTTTCCCATAGGTTCGGCCACTGCACAACAATGCTAACTCTGATCGGTTAAAATGTCATTTTGTGTAAAAACTACTCCGAACTATTTTTTCCTGAAAATATCATGAAGATGACATTTGTACTCTTTGAAAATGTCAAAAAAAAAAACTACCACCTAGATGACATTTCTAAAACATGTTGGCATTTTTTCTAGAATCATAGACCTTCATATTTCAAATTAGAGTCATAGGGTGTACTACGTTACAAAATTAAAAAGAAACTATTTCTTTGGAAGAGTCATAGACCGTAATTAGTCCCAAATTTAGTCATACCGTAATCTCTATTTCTTTAGTCCCAAATTTACTATTCTACAATGAGAAACTATCCGATTACAGTTGATTGTAACATAGATTTATAATTTCGTTACCCTTGTAAACTTCATATGTTGGTTAGGAAGAACATACGGAGTATTTATTCATTGTATTCTTTTTTTTTTCATTTTACAAAGGATGAATAATACAAATTATTTTAACAAATATTGGTCCATGATCTTATTAGTTGGATAATATTTAATATTTAACCGGTGTGGAAAAGCACAACCAAAGTTCATTTAGACAACTAGAGGGGCATAAATAGATCAAACATTCAAACCAGTTCCAAAGTCCAAACTATGGGGTGCCAAACAGGCCTGGACTCGGGCCGGGTGGCCCGACCCGGAACCGGCCTGAACCGGCACTGTTCCGGCCCGGTCAGTGACCGGTTCGGGTAGGCCCGACCCGCTGGGGTTCAGGTCCGGGCTCGGGCCCCTCAAAACGTGAACAGGCCCGGCCGGTTCGGGCCCGGTCCGGGCCATTTTATTTTATTTTTCTTTTTTTTTTTTTTGATTTTTTTTTTAAGTTTTTGGGTTGGGCTGGGTATTTTGGGTCATTTGAGATGGTTTGGGATGGTTTGGGGGTTGGGGGGAGGTTATGGGTTAATTAGGAAAAGGCAAAAAAAAAAAAAAATTGAACTGAGGCCCGGCCCGGCCCGGCCCGGACCTGGGGGTTACCCGGGCCGGTTCCGGGCCTCCCCTTTCCTGAACCGAGGCCCAGCCGGGCTCGGGCCCGAACCGGCCCGAGTCCACCCCTAGTGCCAAATGAACAAACCACAACTAAGCTTAGTTTTCATCATAAAAGTTCTACTTGATAGAGCCTTAGAGAAGTAGTAAATGATCTTATACTTTGAATTATTATTACTTAATAGTAGTATTTAACTTATGTGAGATAAAAGAGTCATCAGAGCAAAATTCAAAAAGAAAGAAAAAAAGATTGGTATAGAAATTGTTTTTTAGCATATCAGATGTACACAGTACACCAACTACATTTACACCAATACTTTTGTTCATAAGATACCTCACCAAGACACCAACCGGAACATAGTTCCAAATATATATGTGTGACAACCCCGATTCACCTTTCACATAACCATAGAAATCACTGCATGTGGGCATGTCAATATGTCTTATATGCCACCTTTGAGGTGGAGGGATGGCAGCAACACTAGGGACTAATATAAGTGTAAAAGTCAGTAGTAACAATCACATGGTAAATGATGTCGACTTCACCTTCTTCCCCTCCTTTTCTCTTACTGCATAAACTTCTTTGGTATGCATGCATGAAGATGCATTATACCAATCATGACTTCAAAAACATAATATATATCTCCATCAAAAACTTCCAGTTGAGACTCATTTTGTTCTTACAAGAAAAAAGAAAGAAATTAATTCATTCTCATCACACTTTGTATTGGCTCCAGCCAGCATTTCTCCTGGCGCAACACCCCACCAAGTAGATAATTGTCTGGAACACAGAAACAACCATAATGTTCATCTCTATCCATATAACTGTAAAGTTAATTTATAGTCTAATGTTAATGGTCCACATTGAGTCTACTGGATTTAGTCAAATACTCATACTCGCCTACTCAGTACTCCAATATACAAGTCTGAGGTAATCTAACCTTTGAGGATCCTTGAGGGTGAGTAAGTCTAATAAATTAATATAGCATCAAGTCGACTCCAGTTCTTATTTATGTGTTCATTTGTTTGGCGCCTCGAGATTTGAGGTTGGTTTTGCCCATTTATCGGGCTATTAGTTGTCAAACCCGATTTGGATTAACATATGTGTGTATAAATGTCCCACCTCGAATGTTTGCTCGATTTGAGTCATAGAACTATATAAGTGTGAGAAAAACCTCACCGCCTCGAGAGGATCTTATGAAATGAGTTAGAAGATCAAATTCAATATATGCAAAGATACTAGTGCACATCTTACAAGGGTGGGAAAGAGGATGAGATTAAAGACTGCCACCACCCTCCATTCAGTTTTCATGTACCGAGCAACTCCAGCCCTGAGCCAAAAAAGGAATGGAGCATGTGTTGGACACTGGAAGAAAGAGTCAGGAGAAACAAACAAACAAACAAGCTGTAACACTCACTTGCAGGAATCACAGTGATAGCACTTAATGTCCCTTTTGTTTTTGTAGAGCTTGCAATCCTTATTTGAACTTTTTGGAAGTAAACTCAAGTCATAATACGAGGCATTCCGGGCAGGATAGCCACACCTAAAAGACAGTGGCATTACGATATTAACTACTCTGAAGAAAGCAATACAATGAAGCAACATTGTAGCGTGTTGGTCAAAGAAATATGAGGAGAAACTTTAAGAACCGGTTTAGTGAGCGACAAATACAGCTGAAATGATTGGAGTAGTTATATTTTCTAAAATGGGACTGAGTTGTCTAAATTTGTATTTAAAAAAATAAAAAATATAACTCTAAATATTATAGGGGTGGATGAGGCATTTACCTTCATTTAAGTTAGTTCTACCCAAAAACATTGCAATGTTGTTTTTCTTATACGACATATTATGCTAAACAAATTAGGGGCCACTTGTTGAGAGTTATTTAACTGAAAGGGTATGTCAAAATTTGTGAAATGAAAAGCGTTCGGTAAAACCAATTTCAGTCAAATAATTAAGGGCTACTAAGTACTAACTCTGCTTATTCCAGTGATAGCAGAATAAGCCGATTAGTGCTACCAAATAGGGTCTTATTGTCTTAGTGTTTGATACGGCAGATAATTAGAAAAAATGTTATGCCAACGTATCACTTCTCTGCATTTCATTCGTTTCAAGTGTCAACAACAAAAATGTAACTTATGCACTACTTTTATGATTATGAGCAGATTCAACAAGTAGAAGAGAACTAGTCGGTGTTTGGTAGAAAAATGGCTTATAAACAGAGAAAATATCCTGCAAAACAGGCAGTGAAAGAAACTCTTACTCAGATGGTGGCCTGCAGCAACCAGCTTCAATAGGACTTAGCTTTGCATATTTATATTGTTTGAGATTCTGCAGGAAGCAAGTTGTAAAAAAACTAATGATTTTAGATGTAAAAAGGGCACAAACAAACGGCAGTGTAGGCTAAAATGCCAACCTTATATTTTTGGGACAGGTTATTGCAGTCAGCAGATTTGACAAGACAGCTCTTCAGGTGTTCCCATTTATGTGAGCTATTGAGCTATATAGTAGAAAATTAAGAGGTAAAGGCAAATCAAGGGTGATAATCTTGAAAACTTTAGAAACTTTGATGTTTTGCCTTATAAATAAATACCTGTTTTAGGAACAAAGAATGATAATCTTGAAGTTGATACTCCTTGTACCTGACCACATAAAATTTAGTATTATGACAATCATTGACTAATAATATGTTTTGCCTAAAATAATAATTTCATACTCTATTTCTTTCCCATATAAAATTCATTTGTTAGTATTCAAATAAACAGATAAATAGAGTTTGCAAAGTGCAGCATTTCCCATCTTCCAAACGGACCCTCAATGCATTACTTGAAGTCTTCAATACAACACTTCTGACTAAAAGAATATCAAATATAGGGCAGTTAAGATTCTACATTTCAAATAGTGAGTCCTCTAAATTTATCCAATCCCTCCGATGCATGCCTTGTACGACTGAGATGATATCACTAAGAGAAACTTGGCATATATTGGTTTGTTGGAAGGTTGGAAAAGAGGATGGAATATAAAAATGGTTGCCGCAGAAATATAACTTGAAGTTACCTCAAACCAGTTACATTGTGACCAGAACCATTATTCGTTACTATAAATCTGCAAAGTAAAAAAGAAGAAGCAATATATAACATATATACAAAGTTCCATCAGGCAGCGCAATAGTGCAAGGTTTTAGAAAGGAGCTTAGTAGGGAGATAAATAACACTTAGAGCCCGTTTGACAGGCTTCACGCTTAGGGCTTATTAGCCAGTTTTTTTAGCACTCATGAACTAATTTCATTATGCTGGCTGAATCTGCTCTGAATTAAAACAAAAAATAGTGTGGGAGTTTCGTTATGGGAGAAAGGCTGTGATTGTTACTTAGAATTTGTTATCATTAGTTAGTTTGAATACATACTCAAATATATATATATATATATATATATATATATATATATATATATATATATATATATAGATAAGAGATCACATACTAACCATGCTTAAAATACTAACTTACTAACTCAATAATATGCAACACATTGAACTTCAATATGCAGTACAAATAATGTAAAGATGCACACTGTGAATTTCAATATGCAATAAAAACAATATGCAAAACTTTGAACTTTAATATGCAGTACAAATAATATGCAACACTTTGAACTTCAATATGCAGTACAAATAATGTAAAGATGCACCGTTTTTGATAGTTTGTAGGTTAGCATGGGAGGAATAGTTAGTATGTGATCTCAATATATATATATATATATATATATATTGGGTGTTTAAAGTTTAAACATATTCAGGAATTTCTACCCCAAATCAGGTAACTTCAGCAGAACCATTTTTAAACCTTCCCAACAGACCCTTAATAACATGAAGGTTGTGACTTGTGACATAATTACATAGAAACAGCCTAAATGGTTCCCACTTGAGGGGTACTTACGCCAAGACAGTAAAAATCAAGATTGCCACCATAACTAAAAAGAGCAGGATCAAGTACTGAAACCAAAGTTAAGAACAAGCATTAGATAATAAATAGATTAATCAAGTGAATATGTTATTATTATTTTTTAATAATTCAATACACACACACACACTCCCTTTGGCCCAAAAGCGAGTTCTCACTTTCCATATTTGGATGCCCCAAATTAAGTTCTTGTTCCCAAATCAAGAAAATGTTAATAGGTTAATGTCACTATTATTCTTACTTTTGCTTACTTTTTGTTTGATTACATAAAATTAGGGCATATGGGAAAGTAAGAAAAGTATAGTGTATAAATATGTGTACTTCGTAGGTAAATCAGAAACATATTTTTGGGACAGAAGTGTGGGTCTGTATATTTGTATATGTGTGTATGTTATAAACAAAGGATAGTATACAATCCACAATAACAAGGAGTTGCTCTTCCATGCACCAATACATCCAAAAACAGATCTGAAAAATCAACCCAAGAAACGGCTCAGAAATCATAATTAACAGCATTCAGTTGATAATGCTTAAAATCAACCCAGATGTAATGAATTCTAAAGACAAACATTTTATGCAGTTGGATTTTCTTTTCCTTCCATACATGCACATTAAGTACATATTTTTGGAATTTTTTTAACACGACTTTTTTACCTTAATGATTTAAGCACAATTGTAATTTGGGGTGGGCCAGGGCTTAGGTTTCCCACCCTAGCTACGCCCTTGCGTGTTGTGATACACTGTTCATTTATGGTGAAATTATAGGTTAATAAAGCTTATAAGCAAGAACTAAATCCTTCCAAATATTGGACCATGGATCATATATCATAAATGTGAGCTCATTTACTTGAAGTCTAATATGAAGAACTAGGGTAAAAGACCATAGAAATACAGGACCATAAATCATAAAAGTGAGCTTACATTACAGATATCAACATGCCAATAAGCATAACATGAAGAGCTAGAGATTTTCGACAATCATCATGATCGGCAGCCATCCAGACCCCGAAACCAATTACACCCACAGCTAAAATCTGCATTTTAAAGATAAAAAGAATAAGATAGAAATCACTAAGGACCAAACTGCTGAAACTCTATACACAAACTTTATCTGCTTCAGCCCATTACCAGATAACCAGAGAATCAACTTCTAGCTCCCCATTGCAAATTAAGCTCAAGAATCAGCAAAATATTTCATTTTTATGTATCCACTAAAACAGAACCTGAGGAAGTCACGCTTAAAGCTCCAAGACCATATTTTTCACTGTTTACGTTTTCTTGATTTTGTTTTTCTGACTGGAATATGATCTCCAAATGGAAAGATTTTCTTGTTTCTTTGAACTTATGTGCAAAATGACTGTAGGAGAACACTTTTCTCCTATAGTCTTCAGGAAAATTAACTTTTGAGCACTGATATGGACTTTCAAAATTTCATGTATTAGTGAGTGGCATTGATAATATTTCTATTTAGAAATATATAATACCAGGTTCATGTGGATTATTACAGCCTAATTTCTCATTCTAAACCAAAAGCAAAAACAGCCACCCAATAGGAGATACAAACTATTAAGAAGAAGCAAACTTCAATAATTTTAAATGAAAATCGAAATGCCTAAAAGCATAAAGGAAAAAGAGTAAACAAGAAATGGGAATGTTACCACTGTGAGGAAATTAACCCATCTGATTACAAAACTACTAATTGACCCCATTTCTGCCTTTTCTTTGCTTCTTCTTACTCACTCAAGAACTTCATAATTTGAGTATACGCAGGTGTTATATACAAAGAGGGAGAGATACAGCCATACAGGAAGATTTTATGTATAGTTTGAGTATGAGAGGGAAGATGAAACTTGTACAATTTGTTTTAATAAAGTAGCACATCAAAAAGGGAATAAAGGAAATTTCACTTTTATGGTAATCGGGATAAAAAGTCAATGGTCATTTTGTTAATGTATAAGAAGTCCCCCTTTTGAATTCAAGAAGTATAAGGTTATTTTTTATTACGAGAATATTTAACTTTTCAACAACAATAAAATGTCGCTATAATAAATCAATAAAAAGAACGTATCAACACCATTTTAAGTGTTTGGAGATGAGAAAATGGTCAAATGGTACGTTGTTGTTTCGACAGAAGTAAGTAGTGCTTCATCTTGCATTTTTAAAGTACATGAAATTGTATTTTATAATCGATTAAGTATATATGCTCTGTCAAAACGTTCAAATAGTTGACCAGACCAAACTATCTGTTTGTATTATACGGTTGCAGTCCAAGTCATAAAATAATTGAATTATAAACTCTACTCCCTCCGTCCCGAAAACAACCTCCCGGTTTGACTTTCACACACTTTTAGAAAATAAATTTGACTTTACTGTAGAGTGCACTGTTTTGCACTGTTTAAACACTGTGATGGATAGTCTACTCGGGGGGTGTCTTATCCGAGGGGTTATTGCGGAAATAACTAGAGAGAATTGAAGTCAGAGCAAAACAAGTAGAGAGAGAGTGAGGTGTTATTAATGAACTTCTGATCTGAGATCGAGTGATCGTGTCCTACAATGGGAATAAGGGCTGCTATTTATAACAATCATAAAGGCTTAGCGCGTACACGTGTCAGCCATCTGACGGCCGAGGGTCAGCTCAATCGGGGTGGCAACGGCAAAGGCATGTGCACCGCATTAAATGCGGTGGTTGGACGTGACGCCGCATTGAATGCGGTGGTTGCCTGTCTCTAGAGGAAGCTTCGTGGAGTTTGATTCCTGCGCCCAAAGGTGTATGGCCGAAGGGTAGTGGGTAGCCGAAGGCACCACGTGGTGTGCCGAAGGCTCCAGGTAGCCGAAGGCTACTTTTTACGCCGTTTTCTCCCAGTGACCCTGCGAGCTCGAATCTGGCTGCTATATGTAGTTTGGAGCCCTCGGCCAAAATATAAAAATCACAAAATAAGTACTGTAAAACGTAATTTACTCACCGAAATGTTCACACATCTATTATTTTCGCTTTCAACAACGTTAATTACAGGTTTTGCTGGGCAGAGTGTGCTTGACAGACAGTAGTTGGCACAATGGGCTGGTGTGACTCGCTAGTCCTATTTATAGTAGAAATTTTCACATTTGATTCACGTGGCTCTAAGCATTATTAAAAGTAATATTGAAGAATGTGATTCACATTCTTTTATACGAAGTATTGAGAAGCGTAATAGTTCTCATTTAATGTAATACTTTGTACTCCGTAGCTTTCATTGAATTTTTATAGAATGCAATCAATACATTTCCACTCACATTCGGCATCCCAATATTTTTTTACAGTTGGGATTTGGGAATTAAAAAATTACTTCAATTATTTCTCTAGCATTTATTATTGCTCTACATACTCAATAAAGCTTTTAGTCTTCTATGCAGGTGTGTTCTACTACGTATAATAATATAGCATTGCTTTAAAGGATGGTTCTTGTACATTATGAACTTACACCTTTTTTGAATTTTGAATTCGAATGCAACTTGCCACTCAATTTCCCTCCCAAACTCCCCCCACACTTTTCCATTTTAATATATATATAGATGTGTGTAGATCAAACCGGAAACATTCCAACGGGACAAAGGGAGTATTTGGAGAAGGGAAAAACGGTTATTCGTTTGGAAATGCAAAGCTGGATAGTAATTTTCATGTCATTTTTTCGATAATATATTGGTAATTTTATTGTAAATTGTTTAATGCTAATTGTTTAATGGTAATTTATTATTAGTAATAATTGCAAACATTGCTAACTCTTAATAATTTAGTACAATTAACTTAGACGTGACATTTCATACTCTATTTAGAAATTACTTCAAATAGGACTAAAATTATGACAAAAAACTCAAAATAGGACTTGTTGTGTTTTTATTCCAAAATAGGACCATATTGGTCCTATTGGAAACATACCTATTTATTCATTCCATTCTTACCCCTCCTTTTAACATGAATAAAAAATAGTCAATAGTCATATATAAATGTTTAATTCATAATAAATTCGGAAAAAAATAAAAAATTCGTAGAAAAATAATTAAAAAATTAATAAATTTTTTTAAAAATAAAAAATCAATTTTTTTAAACTAATAAAAAATAGTAAAACTCTATAAAACAAATTAAAAAAACCATGGATGTCTTTCCCACCGCCTGTACAGCCCCACCCTGCACCACCACCTCCGTTTGGATTAAAAATGCCTTTTTTAATTAAAAAAAATGGCATATTGCTCTTTGAGAATGTCAGCATTTTCATTCTGTCAACTTGAATTCTTATGACTTATGCCAAAAATATGACATTCGTAATGAATTTGGCATTTTTTCCCCGGTGGTGGTACTGCCTCCCTGCGCCACCACCTCTGACCGGTAAAAAAATGCCATATTTACAAAAAAATGCCATTTTTTTCTTAAAATGCCAAAAAATGGCATATTCCTCTTTGAGAATACCAACATTTTTATTCTGCCAACTTGAATCATTCTGACATCTGCCAAAAATATGGCATTCGTAATAAATTTGGCATTTTTCCCAGATGACTGGAGGTGGTGATGCTAGGGCGGCAGAGGCGGCGGTGATTTTATTTTTTTTTTTCATTTTTTTAATTTATTATTATTTAAAATATTTTTATTAATTTTTTGGTCTTTTTTACGATTTTTTATTTTTTTTATTATTTTATTATGAATTAAAACATTCCAATAGCTTTAAGGGTATATTGGGCCAAGACACACATAATTAGTCGTATGGAAACATATTTTATTTTTTGGTCATATTTGTGCAAAGTGAGTGACATTTATCCTATTTCTATAATTAACCCTACTCTGTTTCATACTCTGGGAGTGTTTGCAACAGCTTCTGCTTTAAAAAAACACTTTTGGGGTGATTTGAAAAAAGTGATTAGTTGTAAAAGTTGATAGTGTTTGAGAAAAAAGTGATTTTGAAAAGTAAAAGTTGGTAATGTTTGGTAAAATAAGTGCTTTTGGTGTATAAAAAGGGGAAAAGCACTTTTGACACGAAAGCCGAGAAAAGTAAAAAATTGGTAGTGTTTGGTAAATAAGTGTTTTTTAAAGCCAAAAACTGAGAAGTGCTTTTTAAAGCTGTTGCAAACCAGCCCTCTATAATTTAATCCAAGGGGTTAAGGGGCAATAAGGCCACTAAGGTATACCTCAAGGAGCAAATAAGACACCAACCTATTTTTTGGGACAAAAAACACATTTTTATGGTTTTACTATCATTTAAACCTGATACGCTTGTAATTTCCATGCGTATGTTTATATTTTTAGCTAGTTTTGGTTGTTTAATATTTCGGAAATTACACACTTTTGGTGTAATAGTTATGTTTGTAAAATAGTTGTAATATGTTTAGATTAGGTTGATTCTGAGCTTAAACAGGTCCAAGATCAATCAAATGATCACTGGTGAAGGAAGGTGCAAGAGTACAAGACAAAAGAAGGCAAAATCCTGATTCTTGACCTGTACTCGGTCGAGTATGCCTTATACTCGATCAGGTACCAACTTGACTTTCAATCAGATCAATCAGGAAACAAAGGGACGTGCAGGGGAAGATTTGGCCACGATCAGTTGTCATACTCGATCGGGTACCTATACATACCCGATCGGGTATGCCTTCTATTTTACCCCGGAATCGATCGAGTATACCTCGAAACTGAGGTTTTTACACATACCCGATCGGGTACCATATGTGTACTCGATCGGGTACCCGAGCTGCACCTCCAAAATGCCTATAAATACACCCCCTTTCCTTCACCATTAGACACCAATTCACATATACTTCTTAGCTCAGTTTAGACAAGTATTTTCTTTATATTTTTCATCATGTTTAGTCTCCAAATGAGGAGCTAAACTCTTCCATCTTTGTTTTGCTACTTCGAAGCTTAATGAATTTGTAAGTTGTGAGTTATTCTCTTTAATCTTCTTCCTTGAATATTAATTCTTCCTTTAAGTACTATTTCTATATCAATGTTGGGGTGTGTTACTAAGATGACAATTAGTTAACATCTTGACATTACTTATAGTAATAGTTATTTCTTCCTCTATGTTGATATTGGGGAGTGTTACTAAGATGACAATTAGTTAACATCTTGATATTAACTTTAGTAGGATTCTTTAATATTCTTCCTTGAATATTAATTAATTCCTAATCATATTTCATATTAATATTTTGAACATTACTTAAAGGATCAACTAGTTTTGTTTCATATATTAATTATTACTAGAATCGATCGACGAATACGCCTGTTAATCGTTCGATCGTTTCACGGTAGTAAACTTGGGTTATTAATGCATGCATTTCATGGTTAATAAACCAAGGGGAATTAATTATGCTGATTAAACCAATAAACCGCTTGTGTTGAGGTTATCAATCTCAATCGTTTTCATCTTGATTTTATTGCTACTATCGGGTTAATATACGGCGCGTGTTCTATATTAACTCAGTAGTAAGTTTTATTAATGAACGCGTCTCGTGATTAATAACTACCCTCGATGAACTGGATTTACTCCTCGATTGAGTATTTGAGAGGAAGAAGATAGTTAAAGATATAACCGGGATCGACGAACATTTCATTAAGTGGATAAAAGCAAAACCAAGTCTTCTTTTCATTAATTAAACCACATAAGTCGTTCATCTTCGTGTTTAAATATAATTTAAACCAAATCAACATAAAAAAACACGTTGTTACTTGTTTCTAATTTTAGAAAAAGAGAAGTGTTCATTTCCCTGTGGATACGAACCTTACTACACTATACTACGTATTAGTGTCGTATTGATTATTATTTTGAGTGCATACACGACAAAGTGCACGTCAAAACCACTCATTAACGGTTTCTAACGGAAATTGAGATTTCCGGACAAAGTACTCCGTTAGTTTTATTCAAATGGGACTTGAATTTAAATATAAAAATGTGAGGACCAAAGTCCACAAACTTAAAAAGAATACCACTTATCTTCTTCCCCTTCTTTTCAAACATTGAAATTGGGAGCTGAAAGAGATGACTTAGCAATTGAGCCACGGCCAAAAACATAGGAACCAGAGCTCAAAATTCAAGATGCAGCACTCACCGTAGGATCATCCCAGTCTATTTTGACAATCTGCCAATCAAAAGGCAATTGTATGTTTTATGTTATTTTAGCTCCAATGGCGGCAGATTTGTGCAGCTCTTTCTCATAAATCCCCAGTCATGGTTTTCTTCGCCTTCTTTATTTTTGCTTTGATTAGAATTTCCTTGTGTTGCGTTGTCTTCTTTATCATGATTCCTTCCCTCTTTTTTATCTATTTACAAAATTTCAGACGATAAAGAATTAACACAATGACTAGCGATAAAACATTGAGAGAAAGGTTTCCTAATTTCTTTATGTTTTTTTTGGCTAAATTTCTTTATGTTAGATTCTACTTTTTTTCTCTTTTTTTCTACTTGTATTAGTTGTATCTTGTACTGTAATCATGATTTATCATTCTGGATGTTTTAATGAATGGATAACTTCCAGCAATTAGCACTTGACTGTTTATATAAGAGAAGGATGTTCAAAGGAAATAGATCCCAACTGCAGAACAACTAATATTCAAAGATTCATATACGTAAGTTACGTAAGTTTGGTGTAGGGGGTGGTTTAATAGAGTCGAATAGGCTGAGGTTATTACCACTTTCTAATTTCTTATTTTAGACCCCAAGTTTAATAAAATTAACCGGAAGAATTCGTGAGGTCTGGATTCCGTTAAGTGATGTTAGGGAGTGGCTTAATTGATAAAATAATCATCAAAAGTATGTTTTTTGCCCCATAAATTAATTTATTGTCTTATTTGCTCTCTAAGTTAGACCTTAGTGGCCTGATTGCCCCATAAATTAGCTTATTGGTCTTTTTGACCAAGTTTTACTTATTGTGGACTTTTTTGTTATCCCAAACAAAGACGACGTTTGGGTCTACTCGTCAACCATCTAATACCACGTTGCACCGGCTAACACGAAATTATTTAGACGTTGGCAAACGTTTTTTTTTTTTGGAAAAATTAGGCTTATATAGATAACACATAATTCAGATTATGGGTAATCCGACAAAAAGATTCCTGAAAATCGTCGTCCCGCGAATCAGACTCAGAATTACTCACCTCCAACGAAGCAATATAATTTGTTGATCCATTAATGGGCACAAATGAGCCAAAGACGGTTACCGTAATCCTC